TGGGATCTTATATGTAAAACAGGTTATGTGTGCATATCGTGCGTATCAACGGTATCAACAGTATACAGTTTTATGTTGTGTAACAATCTGAATACAGCAAAATATAAATATGGCAAAAGTTCAATCAAGTCAAAAGAAGAGACTACCAAATTTCTCAAATTTGGAGAAAATAAAATTAATAGAAATAATAGAGCGAGAAAGAAGCATTATAGAAAATAAAAAGACTGACAATGTCAGCCTAAAAGACAAAGAGAATTGTTGGATAAACATTGCAAAGGAGTTCAACAGCAATTCCATCTCAGGACATCGGGATGTCGGATGTCTGAAGAACTGTTGGGATAACTTAAAGAAAAAAACTCGGAAACATTTTGCTGATATTTGTAGTGAACTTTTCAAAAGAGGTATTATATCATAGCTGTGTTTCAATATTTACTGCTAAAAATCTACAGTTTACGTCATGTACACTATAAATTTTCAGTACTGGCAGTGAATATCGGAATGCAGCCCATATAATATTTTATTAAAATATTAATTCAATTTATTTAGTGTATATTTTAAAAATAATAATATAGATTATATACAGGTAAGTTATATCTACAAGTATATTTTATCAGTAATTTGTATACAGGTGGTGGAAAGATGAATATCATTGATGATCCTATTGCTGAGAGGGTCAAAGGTATTATTCAGCCATCAGTTAAAGGTTTACCTAATAAATTTGACAGCGATTACATGCCAGGTATGCTATAAAATAATTTTATATATTCCTTAGAACATTTATACAATTAGTAAACTTTAAAATTTGCAATTAAAATAAAAGAATTTAGAAATTGGTGTACATATATATGCATGAACATTACAGGGTACGTGTTATTTTCTTAAATATAAAAATTTGATAATATATATGATTCAATTTTTTGTTTACTTGACAAAGAACTTTTTTAAAGACATAACATATAAGAAACAAAGAATGTCATTAATTTTTATGTTAGGATTAATAAATATATACTTATAACAGCATAATATGTATTACAGGCATAGATGAGCCACAGAGCAACGAACAGTTGGACGATAAAGACGTTTATCAAGTGGTTGACGATAAAGACGTTTATCAAGTGGTTGAGGTACATATATCGAAAATACTTATGCCATATATCTGATATTTAAAATATTAGAAAATACATTTGAAAAAATACATTTAATTTAAAATACATTTAAATACATTTAAATACATATAAATACATTTATAAAATACATTTAAATACATTTGAAAAAATCGTTAATTCCAACTAATTTGTTTTCGCTCGTTATTGGCCGATACCCTCCTTATTGTTTATATACACGAGCTTGTTTTGTAATTTTATATTTAAAATATTATTAGAAAAACTATTGTCTTAAAATATTTGTTACAGATATTTGAAGAAGAAGATTCAAATGCTGCAAATTGGGCTCAATGGACACCAGTCAAGCTAAGTTCTGAAAAGAGCAAAGAATTGCAGTTCTCAAACAACAATAAAAATGAAGATTTATTGACTCTGAAAGATATACAAACAGTCCTTCCGCAATCCTCCAAGGAAAAATCCAATTCGTCAACAAGTAGCGCATCAGGATCAAATTTGAAGCGTAAGAAATCCAAACAGCTTCAAGTAAACGCTTCCAAACAAAATGAACGGTATTATAACCTTGCACAATCCAAATTGGAATTAGTAGAAACAATGAAGGAAAATCTTTGTGAAAAAACGGCAATCGAAATAGCAATTTGCAAAATGCAATTAGAAAAAGAAAGACTTCAAGTAGAACTTCTTAAGAAACAATTAGATTCTTTTGAAAAGAAACAGTTAAATCCTGTTGAAAAGAAATAATATCGTTCTTTTATTTTTATATTATTTTATAATATTCTTTTACAATTGCATTATTTTCTATTTGAATTATATAAAATACGTTTTTCGTTAAAAAATTAATGCATTTATTGAAACCGTTGTATTTTAGTTTATACTACTTGTAAGAGTACTTAATACTAAATATGAAAGAAATGGTATTTCACATTATATGAATAGAATACATTTTTAATATAGGTAACACAAGACTCAACCTAAAAGAGTTCCTATTTAGATTATATATTAGTTTCTATTTAGATTAAATATTAAACACTATGTCAAAAGAATTAGTTCTATATGTATGTATACATTGAAGTTGTCTTGTGTTATCTATATTGTTATCTACTTTTAAATTGTTACTTTAAAGTATCAAAGAAACAAGTGCAAAATATATAGAAATACAAGTTTATTTTATTATCGTACATGATATTATTTTATTATCGTATATTGGGAATTGTAACAATATTGATAAGGTACCAAATATGAAAATTATTTAAATAAAAATTATAATTTTTTATCGACAGTTGCTCCACTTTTTATTTCTCCCTTTCTAGGATTCTTCACTTATGCCAACTTGCGATGTGTATTTTTTGTGACTATATACTTTGGTCAATTTTGTAGTATCAATAAAAAACCGTGTAAAATATCAATATTTTATTTCAAGATACAATAGCAGGACTGCAAATACTATTCCTCTATACTATCACTTTTTTCATCATGGAGTAGTCCAAAATGTAGCACATTTACCACCTGATTATTCTACAATAAGCTGCAAAATAATGTAATATGTTTTAATAATACTGTTTATTAATATGTACGGATTAAATTGATAATAAAATTATAATTTCCAGAAACAATGAAAACTAGTAACTTATCATTTGTACAGCATTATAAAAATAATATCGGAAATTTGATAACAATGTATTCTGTCGCATTTAACTATGAAATATTAAGCAGTTATATCGTTGTTGAAGTATACTATTTATAAATTAATAAATAATTTACCATATAATTATTTTCTCACCTTTGGAAATAATCGTTGATTATTGCATGCTGCATGCCATTGTTACCGGGTCCATCATGTCTATAAGCTATATTTCCTTCTTGTAAAAGATTTTCCCATGGAGCAGGTAATACTAATTTAGGATCGTTTGCTGGTACTGGATCTCTAGCACGTCGAGCAATATTATGCAACACAGCAGTTGCAATAATAACAGGTAGCACTTTATCCACTTTTTGAAATCGGGACCCAAGTGCTAAAATAGGGAATCTTCTTTTCCATATTCCGAATACACGCTCGATGGTATTGCGTGTTCGTATATGTGATTCATTATATAGATGCTCCGCACGAGTTCGTGGATTTTGTAAAGGAGTCATAAAATACGAGCGAACGGCATAACCACCGTCACCTAATAGCAACGAATTTTGAAATGTTCCAGCTTCAAATAAAGCACGTATTCTTGAATTGTTGAAAATTGTAGCATCGTGCACTGATCCTTGCCAACGAGCCACAAGATCGGTTATCTCTAAATTTGCATTGCAGACTGCTTGAACATTTACAGAAAAGTAACCCTTTCTATTCCTAAAATATTCAGCATCGTTTCCACCTGAAATAAATAACTTTCAGTTGATCTTTGTAGTTATCAATACATGAAAAAAAATAAAGTTGCTTCAATTAAAAGCAACGTCACGGACTGCCACAAACATAAACAGTTAATTCAATTGAATATTATTTGAACGAAAACATCAGATAGTTGTTTTAATAATCCAAATATTTGGTTCAAGCAATATCAAATTGAATTAACCGTTCATGATTGTAGCAGCCCGTGACGTAGACGTTTAATCGAAGCCACTGCATTTTTGTTTGTGTAGAAATTTTTGTAAAACATAAATCAAGATAAAATATAAATTTAATTAATCTATTCATTACAAACCAAAAATAATTAATAAGAAATAACATTTCGAGAGATGTAAAACCTTTTGTATAAAACAATGAAGGTATATGAGATATATAGTGTATGAAAAAACACATGTTTTACTGATAAATTACAAATTATACATAACATGTAAAAAAATTGTTTTTAGATTTATTGTAGGATATCATACATAACAAAATTATCAAATTTAATCTGT